ATAATCTGTAACTTTAAAAAAAAAAAAATTAAACACTCTGCTTGCCCAAGAAGACACTTCTGATGTTGGATCCAAACTGCAGACTAGGAATCTACAGCTTCTAAGTAAAAGGCACCTAAGGGTAAATTTAAGTCAATTGGAAGGCAGGCAAAGAGTTCAGGGAATGAGCATTTGCATGGGTATACTGCCAGAGACCTGGGAGTGAGATGAGGCCCCTTCCTATACAGAGCGTCTCTAAGGAGAGGCAGAGAAGGGGGAAGAAGAGAGGTTAAAAACGAAGGCAGGCAGGCTTCCTTCTTTGCATGGTCCATATTGTCAGCCGTAGCTGGGGGAGTGGAGAGAAAACACCAGATGCGAAATGCCCGAGACGTCTGTGAGTGTATTGGGAGGCACCAGTCAAATGAGCAGGATGAGGCATTTCACTTTCACAGCTCCAGGGTGGTGAGCTGACAACCACAGACGCACGTGTTTCTGGGCATCTCTGCATCTGACTCTTTGCTGTGTGGTTTATAGGGATGATCACGTAATTAATCTTGACAGTGTAATCAAGTGGACTTACTCTCTCCCACTTTAAAGACAAGGAAACTGAGGGGTAGAGTCGTCAGTGTCTTGCCCAAAGTCATAAAATCGGGAGGTGGCAGAGAAGGCATTGATCTCAGGACTGTCTGATTCCAGTGGCTGAGTTCTCAACCAGTGTCCACTGTTGATTCTCTCGCTGGGCTTTAAATGTGGCCACAGGATTGAAAAATGAAGTTCTTCTGAGAAGTTTGGGTATTCAGTCCTTCAGGAGCCTCAAAATTTAAAAAGAGCTAAGAAGTCCATGTTTGCCTTTTGACTGACAATCACGTTCTAGACGTGGGTAAGGGAGCTGGTGGCAAGAACACTGCACAAACGCTTGTGTTCCATTCACTTCCCACTGCTGTTTTGGTCCTGCCCCATGTTGGCCATGTCACAAAAGCTCTCCTGAAGTTCTACAGGACCCAGTTCCTCGTCTGTACAATGATGGCAGTACTGCTTTAGCTACCAAAGAAAGTAAGCTCCAAGATGATTTCTCAAAGTCCCGCCCCAAATTTCTTTAGAAAGGCATGTCATACAATGCCAGCACTGCTGAAGCCCTTCAGCCTTCTCTGGTTCTCCTTAGTGACCTGGAGACTTCACTACAGGGTGCCTGGTTCTCAGGCTTCCTATGGGTCCTGGTTACAATCAAGAGCCCATAACCTACTCAGCACCTCTGAATGTGTGAGTTTTAGCTCCTGCTTTTAACCAGAGCCATAGTGGAAAGTTGTATAGAGACAGGAAGCCTGCCACTTTGACTAAAGGTGCCATTGGCCTCCCTAAGAGCAGGTTGGACACAATCCTGTATACTATCCACCAGGACGCTCAAGTCCATGATGAGAATGCCTGTCACTCCAAGGAGAAAAGCTCATCCCATGATGGGACCAAGCCACAGTCTGCAGGCTCCTAAAACAGAAGAATGAGCAATGGCAAGTTGCTCTAATGGCCTAAGGCATCATTAACCGAATATAACAATCGCAAAGAAAATAATATTTAGGACATAATTCCTGCCCACAAACTGCAACTTCAGTTACATGACAATTTTACTTATGCATGATTCATTTCTACAAGTCAAATGAGCAAAAGAAAAAAAATGACATTTGACTGGAAAGATGCTTGCAACACATTTAATTTTGCATAAGAAATGTATAATATCCCAAGGATTTGACCTAAAGCTTGAAGCCAGCCTACACATTGTTCTAATCAATTATGCCTTCCTGCATCAGCACTTTTGCCTTGCAAAGAACTGAAGGCATCATGGTCTCTAATTGGGGAAAAAATTAATTTAGAATGGTTTTGTTCCATTTTTTACTATATTTCTAGAAACAAAACAAAATAACTTCTAAAACAGATTAGAGGATCCTTATAACTTCAAAGGATGTTGTCATAAAGTTATACCTATTTGAAAAGAAGAAATGGTTTGATGCTACTTGAGTCTGCCTTGAGAGATTTTCACCAGTTTGAGATTTTTAAAGTAGATTTTCATGTATAAGAAATGTCACTTATAATCTCTGAACTTTTACTAGCTGTAAAATAAATACTCTTATAATTTTGATTAAATTATCAGCACTAGACCTTGTTGGGCGCTCTAGTTCTTTTTGTCCCAGATGATTCTATGTTCCATTCTTTTCACCCTATCTATGGAAATGCATTAACCTCTGTGGTAGGATCTTTATTTAAAACACCAATACTATTAGTAAACTATTTATTAAACACTTACCATACAAGGCACCAGCAAAGCTCTTTATGTACTTTATCTTCAATTATTGCCAGATCCTATGAGACTGTCACAGTTAGTAGCCCATTTCATAGGTCATAAGACTGAGGCTACCAATTCATGAGTGTCCTATTAACTTCTTCAACAGTTGTAAAATTATGAGAGCAATGAAATAAATACCCAGTACAAAATCTTCAGAAAACTGCCTTACTACTTCATCCAAATAGAATATCAACTTTGAAATTTTCACCTTGTAAGCCCACAGAAAACATCTCCAGTTTTTTTTTAAAAAAATGTTAATATCCAAGTATTTTCCCAAGAAATTTTGATTAATCATCCTGAGACTTATTCAACACCTTATATGGCAATTAGGCTACTTCATTGCTCATTATACTCTGGAATACAAAGATGCAAACTTGACTAATGTGTTAAGTGCCTAGTGTAGATCATACATTATGCTAGATATTTTGTGAATCATTTTTCACGATATAACCATGAGACAGCATCTTTTATGTGCCATAGGTATCAATCCAGAACAAAGAGACAAATAATGGATAAGGGTTGTGATTGGGATTTAGAGGTAGGTCTTCTAACTCCTCAAGGACAGGAAGAGACAAAGACTCCTGTAAATTGGCTGACAACTATAGGAAGTGCTATTTTACAACAAAAATATATTGAAACAAAGTTCAAAGTGTGACTAGTTTTTTGAAAGCTTTTAAGTATTAATTCCTGGGTCTGGATGGCAATATAAAGAAAGCTGTCATGGTTCCAAGTTTTTTTTGAAAATTTCAACATGGACTACATGAGATGTGAATACTGAAAGTGAGTGGTCCAGTGCGCTTGCCCTCTACAAGCTGGAGTCATTTGCTCCTCATGTTTCCATCTAGGTCAGCGCTGGGAGACATGGAAATGGGCCTCACATTTAGAGCAAAGGACGAAGGGGAAATCACACAAGTGGGAACACTCGTGATTCCATTGATTATTTTTAACCTGAGACTGTGCCCAATACTATTATCATGAACTTATAATTCAACCAGAGAAGTCAATAATGCTAGATGACCTACGATGTTGACATTTTGTGGCAAATGAATTAAGCATTCTGCAATTTTAACAGCAGTGGAAGCAAAACCTTGGACATGAATGCATTCTCTAGTATCTTATTCTAAATTCCCTGAATTAATCTCCCTGTTTCCAAAAATGTTCCTGAACCCCAAATACCAGGTGACTCACACAATGTAAATCAATAGATTTTTTTCAAGTGCAATAATTGTTTCTCTCTGGGAGATTCCCATTAGTCCCAGAAGGAAGAATATTTGACCTCAAGGAATACAGCAGATGTGGATAAGCTGTGTGTGCTGCTGACCTTATCAGAAAAGAGCTAGGCCTTGAGAATCACAGGAGAACACTCTGGGCATGTGCATACTGGCTGTGGGAAAGCAACCGGCTGGTCAAGTGTGTGTTCTTTAAAAGAGAGAGAGAGAGAGAGAGAGAGAGAGAGGAAACAAAGAAAGAAATGCAAACTACAAAGGGGAGTGAGTGAATTGACAATATCTCCTTACCTTTAAAAACATTCCTAGGAAATAGTAATATGAATGGAACCCAGAGAAGGGAGATGTTGGCATCTGAGCCATTAGTAAAAAGACCCATTAGTATAAAGGCTGTCTATATAAAATCCTGGCAGCCCAGGTGCATAGGCTCCTGGGTACAGAGATATTTGCTCTGCCACGTGCCCTGCTCTGTTTAGGGGCTCCGTGGTCAAGTAAGATGGCAGGAAGAGGATGAAGTTATTTCTCATAGAGTTCTACCCCAAAAGAACAGGTTAAAATTAAGAGGGCAAAGGAGGGAGGGAATGGACAGAGGAGCTGCCTTGATGGACAGGGACTAGACTGCAGTGGAACCCTGATGGCTAAGGAGCCAAATTTAGCACAAAGGAGAACTGCATGGCCAGTATTTACTAAAACTTTGATCTTGAACCTCTCTGCCAATCATGCACATTTCTCCAGCAAGACTAGCACACTCCACTCTGAATGGTCTTACACCAAGCCAGATTAACACATTTATGTGGTCTGGCCAGCCACTGGTCCCATTGGCATTTGTGTCTGTAATTCCAGACTAGACATCCCTGCAGGTCCATGGTAAACATGTGAGGATGTGTTTGGTCTTCACAGTCAGTGGCAGGTGCTACTGAAAGTTGTGACCCAGAACCAGGGGAATGTGACATCTTGCCAGGCTGAAGGAAGCTCCTCACAAGGCAGATTTACCTGTCTCTAAGTGCCTGTCTCACGTCCTTTAAGGACCAAGGGCCAGATGGTATCCTGCTATAAAATTTGTACTTCAAACTATAGTATTTATTGTCTGCTTTACATTACTGGTTCTGTTTGGATTATCAACATTTTATGTTACTAACAAGAGATCACAGAGACAAGAGATTCTGAAGATAATGTTTGTAACTGATGCTGAGAAATAGACAATGGATTTTGCCACATTTGGAAAAAGGACATTATTTCTTTCATTGAAATAGTAGGGTCCCTGGCTTTCAAAATAAAGAGAATCTGTAAAAGCACGATATTTCTTCTACTGTGATTTTATGCCAGCACCTAATTAGAGAAACCAGAGGGAGAATAAATCAAAACCACATGTAAGGGGGTTAGTTTTAAAAGTGAGATTTCTAGGACCCCTCTCCTTTGGTGGTAGTGAATCTGGGATGGGGGAGGAAAGGGGTACTTACTGCACACAGGCAATCGGCACACTTTGACTGAAGTGCTTCTGATCACCACCGACAGTACAGCCGCAATGCAATGGTTCAGAACCACCCCAGTTGACGCTCATTAGTTCTTTCTATGGCATCTCCTGATACAAGTGTAGGAAAAGAAAATTTTAATTGCAGTGCTCTTTGCAGCTTCAAAGAGTGTACAGAAAACGATAAATGGCCTTCTTCTAGGACTGAACGTCCAAGCTTGAAGGGATCTTGGTGATTATCTGGTCTACCTCACCACCTTCCTGATTGGATCCTGGGAAGTATCTGTCCAGGAGTGCACCCTTGGTGACAGGCATGAAGACAGACAATAAATCTGTGGTCAAACCATTACTTCAGCTCTTAGCAGGCCAAACTACTGGGAAAATAAGCTACAGAGGTTCTTCTCTTAGCCATAATCATTAAAGAGCACTGAGGTGGCATTCTCAAGTTGCAAGAAAGGAGGTTCCTACCAGATTTTCTGACAAAAAGCATAAAACTGAAAGTGCTATTCCTTATTCCCCTGCTTCTCTTACCATCAATCTTGAAAAACTGAGCCCAGTCTTGATACCCACACTTCCTTCTTCGATTTCATCAATTCACCTTCCACCGCTAGGAAGATTCTCCCACCAGGCACTAGGAAGTCAATGCCTCTTATATTCTCACTATCTGCTGTATTTTCTCACACTCATTCATTGATGCAGGATTTATTGAGAACCCACTCCATGGACCATCATACAGCAGTGAACAAGAGAATCCCTGCTCTCATGGACCATTGCATCCGTATGGGGTAGAGGGAGGATAAAAAGAAAAAGGGGACTCTTTCAGCTAGAAAAAAAAAAGCTACAAAGAATATCAAACAGGGCATCAGGCTAACAGTGGCCAGAGAGAGAGGTCTGAAAGGCAGAGTAGCCTTTGTGTAGGAAGGGCAGCTCTAGGGGAGGTGCATCATCTCCTTGTGCCTCAGTGTCCTCTCCTATAAAATGGAAATAATGCTACCTGTCTCAGAGGCTTGTTGTGAGGTTGCTAAGTGAGTCAATAAAGACTTCGTAAACATGCATAGAGAAGTGTCTGGCATTAATGAAGAGCTTTTTCTGCATCTATTGATAGGATCATATGATCTTTTAGGTCCTTTCCAGCCCTTCAATTTTACATCTCTATTTTTACATTTCCATTAGAGATTGGAAAGAAAAACAGATCTAGATTAGCAGAGCTACCATATGCTATATTTAAAGCCATATCTTTTCTTTCCTTCTCTAATGGATCTGTTAATTAGAAAATAAAAATCTTCTTAAGCCACATTCCTAAGCAAAAGTAAAAACAACCACCAAAACCTGTCTCCTCTCAGATGGAGTTTACAAGAAAATCTTATCTTCGGGCAAATATGAGAGCTAACTCAGAGGCTTTTCACTCCTTCCTGTGTATGATTAACAGCAAACACCTTGTCATAAACATTTTTGAAAGGTCAGAGTTGGCAACAATTTTGTTAGAGATAAAGAGTCAAATAAAACACTGCCTTGGTAACTCCCAGCCTTCAAATAACAGCATAGATCTGATCAATAATGAGACATACAAAGGGGATTGTGGGAGAAAGGGTGGGTCCAATTGGAAGTATTAAAAACTTGCCTCAGTCATTTTTCCCCCAACACATCTTGGGTTACATCAGATACTGGAGCCATTAACAGGAAATTCCTGCTTAGTGTGAGAAAACTGAGATTCTAGTAATGAAATAAACAATTGCTTTATGTTGAAGAAGTAAAAAATAGTAAGAAAAAGAAGTTATTTGCAAAAAAGGCAAGGTAAGAATGTTTTACCTATATATGAAGCAGTTTTTGAGTTCATATTTTGAATGTTATTTTGAATCATACTTATTAGTATATTTTACTCTTATCCTAAGGCACATCACAAGTATGCAAAAGACACTAATTTATTCCTAAATGTATGTTTATATGCTAAATGTGCCTTAGAAATAGCACATTTTATTTATATGTTGCTACATATTGCTGTTGTCTTAACAGTAAGTTTAATTTTTAGCATATTGAAGAGATAGCTTTCTATTGTAAAATTTTCATTTTAAAAATGAAGTATTTCCAGTCTATATGGGAGATTTTGTAATTCTGGTAAAAGTATTTTATCACTTAAACTGCATTACACATTGATTATCTATTATCTGTTCATATTAAGAAGCCTCTATCATCAGTTAATGTTTATTAAACAATCAATACAATCTAAGTGAAATAAGAATAAACTCAAACAAATGAGTGGGCTGAAATTCAGAGAAAATTGAGACCACGTCCACTTCAGAAGAGCAGCATTTGTAAGAATTTATTTCTGCTTAAAAGGTCTAATTTATCTTTTTTAATGTCATCAAAGTTAATAATGGATGACATGTCTTATAGCTTCAGTGATGCAGCAACTTGTCGATAACACAGAGAATTTAGAAACCAATTCATCAATTCATGATTTTTTAATTGGACCTTGGATGGTTAATTTTGTCATTAAACTCTCCAATAATAAAACCCTAGAAAGAAAGTTAATTAATAAATAAATCGATAGCTGTTCCCTATCTCTTTAATGAATAACTCTGAGTTCCTATTGTACCCCAATAACCAGTGGCACGTTTCACTTGGACCACTTCCGGGTAAGAGGAGGCAAGGCATACTGAACAGGAGAGAGATATAGGGGGAAAGGAGGGCTGGTGTCTAGTTGTGTGTGTGTGTGTGTGTGTGTGTGTGTGCATGCATGCACACTTTATAAATACAAGTTCCTCTCTTCTCTCTCCCAGACATCCACGTCGAGGCCAATATATTCTATGGCAAATAGAACAAAACTCAGATTTCCCTTATTTCCTCCCTTATTTCAGAGGAGGTAAAGGTTTTCCCCACTTCTCAGTATTGCATTCACTGGTAGGTCTGTACTGTTGCTCATGTATTTGCCCACTGATATTCCATTACTCATTGAACACCCAAGGTTGAAGAGATCGTGGTGATTATCTGGTCCACCTCACCCCTTTTCTAACTGGGAGGTTCAGGAACATTAAGAGATCTGGCCATGGTCACACAGCTAGTTACAGGCAGGGCCAGTCATTCTTCCCATTCCCCACACCCAGCAATCATTCCACTCCACCACACTTCTCTGATCGCCTTTGCCTAAGAACACATCCTTCTGACGCTTACAATGGAGAAATTAATGAGTCTGCAAGTTAAAGATTCACTTTAAACAAATTGGTTCATTATTATTTAATTGAGGCAGTTTCTGAGCAATAAAAGCCTTGCTTACCAAAACTAGATAAGCAGCTCATGAAACATTGAGCTCAAGGAATGCAAAAACTGTCACAAGTCAATATGTGCTGCCTTTCTGTTTGATAAATGCCACCCAATAGCTTCAGAAGTATCAGAAACTAATGGTGTCCCAGCACTCTGTAGGCATACATTAATGGGATCAGGAGCATAAAATATAAACAATAATGTACATATCGATTGTTCCAGACACTTGAAGCCCAACAAACATTTGAAAGGTCAGTCATTTTACTTGCATCAAATTACAGATAAGTCATTTACTTGAAGCTGGAAACTTGGCTCTCCATGCAAATTTATCTCGTGACCTATATACCTAATCATACCATACCTCTGTTGGCTTCCTAAGGTTGTCTGGCATGAAAAATAGACCAGAAGTGTTTAATCCCATAAAGCATACTCAAGTAAACAATATATGCACTACCAGGAAGGATACACTGTGGTAGAAATCCATTCTATAGGCTAAATAAATACCATGAGACAGCATTTTATTATGACAGAACATGTTTCACAGTTTCTATAAGTCAACTATTTATGTGAGCTTTACGTATTACTATAGATGAATATCTATGCCTTCAGGATGTTAAAAAATACAAGTTTACAAAGTATGAGGTCATAATTATTTGTACTTTTATTTAAAAAACTAAACTTGGACTGACAGGTTCACACTAAAGTTTATCTTCCAGCAATTTTTTTAAATGATAAAAGGCTTAGACCCTTTCAAAGCCCCTCCAAAAGAGAAAAGCCCATTTTAAGGCTTTCTGGATGTCCATGCAGAAACACCCCTTAAGCGGCATTTTCATACCAAAAGGCATCTCTCCCTAAGAGTCAGGTTTCTATCTGATGTTCTTTCTGGTATTCCAGCATCTGGACAAACTGGCTATCAGGAAGAGTTCACAATCCCACAGCCCCAGTTCCTTCTCAGAAGTGACAGTGCCTCTTTGCAATCAATAGCCCACTGTGGACTTCAAAAATGGTGAGAGGACTATGAAGCACCTAAAGAAAGGTTTGCAATGTAAGTCCCCTTTAGGAGAAAAACAATTCTGCCTCTCCTCTGACAATGCCTCCAAGTACTTTAGTGAGGAGAGTTCCCCCATTCACTGCTAAATAAGATTGTCAGGCAAAGAACAGGGCTTGCAGAAATGTCTCCCAAGAACTAGCCAAAGCAGGACAACATCCTTTCCAAGAAGGCTTGGGGAAAAGCTTAACAGAATTTTCCTCTGGCAGAAAACATTTCTCTCTTTGTAGGTGAGTGAAAATACATGGCTTTTCAGCTGCCAGCTGAATCATAAACATTTGCAATTGCTTCCTTTGAGCTAAGGTGACCAGTTTTCCTTTTTCTGATTTTTGCATTATGGATCTTTTACATTGATTCATTCAAGATTCTACAACAGCGAGAAACAGCCATTTTGAAAATCAGATGTCCTTACTCATGAACTATGTCATTTTCAGAACACTTTTAAAACTCATATTACATTAGGTAGCAATCAACAGCCATTGTAAAAATGTATAATTTATGTTAAAATACCATGATTTTAATAAGGCTTATAGCAAAATTGAAAATCCCAAAGGAAAATCACAGTGATTTACTTGGTCACCAAATCACCTGATTTTAATGTTAAGAACATAATTTTATGGTTTTTTAAATAAAGTAATTATCAATATGAGACTATTATATTTTAAAATATATGCAGAATCTTAAATGGGCCAAAAGAACTGATAGATATCATTTTAAGCAAAGCCAATTATGATGCCTGATCAAAAGATGAGACGACATTGCCAAGACAGACCTTTTGCTTTCTAGGTGATACAGATTCACT